GTTTATAAAATTAAATATTAATCAATCACTAAATAATAATATTCATAAAATTAGAATAACTTATACAAGTTATAATAACATCTTAATATTTAGAACTCATAGTTATGTATTATTAAATTTTAATAATAGCCCAAAATCTGTAGTTCCTACTTTCTAATCTAAATAGCAGCCAAATATCCGCATTACACATAACTTCACATAAAATTAATTTACCAAAATAGCGATAAATCAGAAGTGTCAACGAGCATTTCATCCAGATAGTCAACCATACGTGTATGGTGTGCAGCTGTATCTAGCTGGGAAGCTAACTGACGGTGTTCAAAAAGGTTTAGTTTTGAATTGTTACTGTTGTATCCACCACCACTGGATCCAGCAGATGAACAATAGGCTTGGACACGGAACCAGTCAAGACGTAGAGCACGTAAGTCAAATAACTCATTGTCCTCCACTATTAAGTTGTAGTTAAAATAAGCAAATATATTAAAAATTTAATGTGTAAAAAAAAAAAAAAAATGATTAAGTACCTTGCTTGACTGACAATGCAGACACTGTATGCACAATAGACTGGAGGATTACATAAGAAGGATCTTGTTGATAATGTTGTTGATCTTGCTGATTTCCATAAACAGATTGTATTGATTGTGCTAATTGGACAGCATCAAATCCAACTAGGTACTGAACATAATAACGTTGTACAACCTGACTGTACTTACGCACTAGCACTATAAAGTTATGACAAAGCATAAGTTTTTAAAATTATCAAATTAATAAAAATGAATCAAAATGTTAATGTTGATGAAAATCAATTATTTAAATTGTTACAATATTGGTAACTCACTCCGAAGCTCTTCCATATGAAACAATAACTCAGGAAGTTGCCTGTCAACTAAAAGGTCTTCTACACCAGATGATGATTTTCCACTAGAACTAGATTTTCCAGTACCTCCTGTACCTGTTCCTGTCCCCTTTTGACTATTACCTCCTCCAGAATTGGGGGCACCATGTCGCAGCAACCAGCATACTTCGTCTCGAGCTAAGCTTAACCCAATAAAAACCAGCAGGACTTTTGGTCCCAATAACCCTGGCTGATCAGTAAGTATGAGTGCTAATTCTTTGAGTGCTGTGCGAAGGTATTTACGGCGTTCACGGTGTCGATACACCCTACAGTGAGATTAAAGCTATTGGATAAAATATTACATGATTAACAATATTTTAATAGTAATAATACTAACGCTTTTTGTGTAGCATGTGTATGTGCCTCTTTTACTTCAGATACTCTCTTTCCATAGCCCTTAAGTGTGTCAAAAAATGATTGAACAAATGAATGAATGGGAACAGTTTCATCTCTAAACAAGGCAATTGACCAATTTGACTCAAGTGCAGCTAACCACAGTTTATGAGCCACATTTCCGTCTTGGTTATGTTGCTGCTGGTTTGGTGGTTGTTGCTGCAACGTTTGATGGCACAGCAAAAAACCGACTTTCAAAAAAAAAAAATTAGTCAATGTTAGTCGGATGTCTCATCTGTATAGATGAGAAATAAAAAATAAAAATTAAAAATGTTTACTTACATATAATCCATCGTTCCATTGTTTCCAAGGATAAATACTCGCATGACACAGTGTCTGTAGATGAAGGTTTCAGTAGTTGTGCAGGGTTACCCACTAGACTGAGTTTCTGGTCAGACCTAGAATTATAGTTGTAGAATTAATCTAGATTATATTAAGTGTAAATGGCAATGGCAAGTCAACATCGCTAAAATAAAAAAAAAATATTGTTATCAAAGAAATAATAGTTTTTACCTCCACTTATCTGCTGTTAGATTGCGCTGTACATATACTGGCCAAAGAGAACGTAGGGCTCCAGATAAAAGTTTAGTATGTGGCACAAATTCATCAGCTAACCGACGCACTGGTTGCTCATAGTCTACAATCATTTGGCCAAGACGTGGGAAGCTTAAATCACTGTAAAACATATTAATATTGTTACGTTCTCAAATATTCTATAATAATATAATAAAATACCATGACATAGACATCACATTCCAATTCACAGTATTATAATGAGGTAAAGTAAAACAATATTACAAGTAATTATGGATAGGCCTAATATGTCCTGTACTCATCGATATGCGTTAATAATTTATATTCTTGTATGTATTATAATTTATAAAATACATCTCATATAGCAATAATACAACTCATTAGGTGCAAGCAACCATGTAGTACTGTTGACTAGATAGATTCAGTTGTGCGTGCTTACAGAAGGGATATGACCAAGAATAGTGGAGAAAGAATCTTAATAAGAGTTTGAGATAGGACTTTTTTAGACATAATTTACAAGAATTAGAGTGAGCACTTTCACACTTGTCTAATGTCAGGATTTGGTTATTTGGACATAGAAATAATATATTCAATTTAAAAACACTTAAAAGAATTTATACAACTTCTTTATTTCATTGTAACAACAGCACATCTCTATATACGGTTGCTTATATACTGGTAGTAAGGAATAAAAAGTTGAACAGTAAAATTATTATAGATACTATTATAAAAAAAAAGATAGGTAAGATCATGATTTTTTTGATACGTAAACATTGTTTAAATATTTTCTGTTTTAAATTCTCACTTATATTGTAATTTACTACTTTTTGACTGCTGACATAATGATTAAATTATTATCATGTTGGGAAAAAATTAATAAATCAAAAATGGAGAACTATGATAAAGGCTTGGTATAAAGATGTACACACTGTAATTATATTTCATTACCTGTGATGAAACCTACATATTTTTACAAATATTAAAATGTGTAGTATAGTTAAAAAGATATAGAAAGTGATAGATAGCTCGATAGCTGAATTGGTGAGTATATTATTTATTCTGAGTTTCTACATAGTAATGAATACATTACCTCTGATTATGTACCATCTCATGTGCAGCATTAAATAGCCCTAATACTGCTTTGCGATCCTCAACACGTGATAGTAAAATCATAAGGGCTACGTATGTGGCCACTAAGTCTAGGTAGGCTCGTGTTAGCTCATAATTTACAGTCTATTGAAACAATGATAATAATTAACAAACATAAGTTATGAAAACAGTGGTTATAAAAATGTATTGAAAATTAAAAAAAATAATACTATGTTACTTACAATATCCAGATTTATTTGGCATGCATCCATGGTAGTTAAAAGTTCACACACTTGATCTTTGAAATCAAGAAGGTCAACAAATGTGTAATAGTATAAAGACAGTGATTTTATGATGTCACTACGTATGGGTGTAATCGCTTGAAGCTTTATGTTCAAAAAAATTTCCAGAAAAATAAGACAAAATTAAAGCAACAAATATTTTTATTATGTACTACATAATTACTATTCATTAAAAAACTTACACCTTTGATGTCTACATTGGGAAATCTGCGCACAATGTATTTGATTGCAGACTCTAGTGTTTTGTCAGATAGAAAAGCTGGCTTGGATTTAGCATCACCACATGCCTATCATTAAAATAATTTAAAAAAAATGATACTTTATATTATAATAATAAAATACAACTAAGTAAATATTTTGACCACTTATTTATTCATTTAAATTCACTATTAAAAGTTTACATTTTCATTATTATTGTGTAAACAATAAATCTGATTAAGACATTTATATTTGATCTTCAAAAAATGGTAATTTTTTTATAATGATAGAAAATTAAAGAAATGGTTAGGTACTCAAAGAAATATTTCAAAATAATTATCTAGTAACAAGTTTTAAAGAAACTCGAGGTGAAAATATTACCAAAACAATTATAAGTATACCTAGTTAAAGTTATTTGAAATCATGAGCAGTTTTTTTTTTTAAATTTAAATGTTATTAATTTAAAAATCTGTATTCTATATGAATATATTTTCTTAAATCTGTATAAGCTTTTTAAACATTTTCATTTTTGTAATATGATAAAAAGTGTATAAAATGTCTTTAAGTCTTTGGAATGTTTATGAAAATGCTTTAAGTATGCACAGTATAAAAATAATTAATATTCTGAGTCATGTGACTATATTTTAAACATTTTAACTATATATACTAGGTATCTACTAATTTTAATACTTAGAACTTCATTATTGAAATTGCAAAGCAATAAAAAATACATCATAATTTCAGCATGATATTATGACAAAATATTAATTTCTCGTATTTAAAAGAATACACCTACTAATACATTAATTTTAATTTTTGTATATAAGATCAGTAGGTAGGCATCAAAAATATTAATAAATATATGAGAATCGTGAAATAGTTTATTTTAATCAGATATATTAATGATGAAAATTAATAAGCACCAACTCTTTTTTAATAATTATAATACCCTGTCAAGTACCCTGAATCCTGATGGAACTAATACCGTCATCAAAGTAACACAGCTATTGCCTTTATTAGAAAGACATGTCTTTCAAACGATGCGGTGATCGCAAAAATCAAACATAGCACAGCGATGAATTAAGCGGCAGCAACATACCTTCTTGATGTTGTAGATCCGTGTGAGCATGCCCACGCCCCGGTCATTGATTAAGCTCAGTTTCTCGGCGAGCTTGTGATGGCCGGCCGATAGGCCGCCACCACTGCCGCCTCCCAGAGACGAGCCAGAACGCGACGACATCGTTTGGTACGCCGAAGGTGACGTCTATTCGTGCGTCTAACAGGTTGTTAGCGCGCACGCGTCGATCGAACGCGTATATTTTTCAAGTTTTACCGACGGAAACGTCAATTCCGGCAGTAATTGCGATTGTTCGGTTTGTTATTATAATGATAAACATTAAACAGCGTTCGAGTGCGCGTGAGAGGCTGCGTCTCGGTGATAAATTGATAATAGGAAACATTAGAAATAATAATAACATGGCGGTTATGGTACGCCGCGATTGCAGTGTGACAACCATCACCGTCATCGACGCACACAGAGCGCCGACGGACCGCTGCGGCGGTGGTGCCATCTTATCAGTCAATTGTTATCTTGTCGGCGGTACCACATTATCTCGGGCGACAACGTAACGTGTTTTCGATTTCACGTGCCGATTACAGTGGATAGCCTTTTGCGATTTCAGTGTACGCGATTTCTCCGGTTTCCGTGGTAATTCCTTTTGCATTTCCAAATTTTTGACCACTTTGGCAATTTATCCGTTCGTGTCAAGTCATGCCGCCTAAAAAGTCGAAGAAAGCTAACAAGCACAATCAAGATTGGGCCGATGACGACGATGATACGGCTGGTGAGTCAATCGTATCTTGTATCTTTTATCCGTGGTTGCTCTATTCTGTCCGGATAGAATACTACTACAGTTTTAACATGTCACCTCGTCAATACCGCTGAAACAGCGTGAGACTGAGACGTAACAGCCTATTTTTTACATATTGTGTAAACTAGACTGTAGAGGACCATTTTATTTTAATTGTTGTACACTTTCAATAACTCAAATTTTTTTTTTTCAATTGTATTACCTATTATAGAATTTACTTTTTGTGTAATTTATGTGAGTAAATTGTTCAAAACATTACATCTTGAAAAAAATATGATTACCTAGTTTCATTATTAAAGATTAATCAAAAATATTTAACTAGATTTGAATTGAAAGTATAATATATCTTTCTACAATATATTATCCAGTGAAATTAATAACTATTGTATTCACTTTTTAGGTTGTATGTTGAAGGATTTTAGAGCATTTTAAAATTGTAATATTTCACAATTATAACTTATTTTAAAATTAAAACAATAATAGCTTAAAATTTTTATTAAAAAACATTCTTGTTTTTAAATTTTTAAAAGGTCAATTTAATCTAGTATTATGGTTAATGATATAATATTGGCTGAGCTGAATGTAAATTTCCTATGATGCATGCAAATTAGTGAGAAAACAAATAGCTTGCTGACATTCTCTTAATATGTTGAATTTTTTTTACAATTAACACAATACCTAATAGTAAACAAAAAACTTATTTATTTTAATGATTAAAGTTAGTTAGATATCTATGTCAATGTAATCAAATTTATTCTCGATTTCTATTTTTGAATTATTGTTTTACTTTTAATGAGACATCTAATAATTACCAAGTCCATAATATAACATGTACTTACCTACTTATAAAATATATAAATCAAAGTTAAAGTTTTTATTTAATTTGGTTAAAAACTTTTTCTTTAAAAATATACCAACAATATTAATTAATCTTTTATTAATGTATAAATTTAGTGGATATATTAGCTGCTGCCAAAGTAAATGATGATACAACAGCTGAAGTACCGGTGCTACCTAATCGTGGAAACAAGACTTCTAAAAAAAACAAGAAAAAGAATAAAAATCAAGATTGGGGAGATGAATCTGAAGGTATAGTATTTTTGGTTGTAATTTAAAGTGTTAAGAATTTTATACTACAAAATAGGGTGGTTGTGGTTATCTCGATTACTTTAATATATTCTATAATATCTTGTTTAATCTAATACTCTTTACTATCTATTTTTAATATAATATATTCAAAAATGTTTTTAACATTGGAAAGACACATTTGTGAAAAAATATTTTTTTTATAGTTTTTGCAATTGTCTCAATTTAGGCAAATAATAAATAGTAAATTTTATGAGAAATATTTGTGAGCCAAGCAAAATATTTTAAATATTGTATATATATATATATCACTGGAAATGTATGTAGTTGGTGAATATTGGAAAATTTCCAAAATTTAGACACTTACATTAGGATTTTGGTGAATGTTGACATACCAATACCATATGGTTTTGATTAATGGTGACACTGGTAATATGTATTTGCCCATATTATAGTATAGAGTATAGACAATTATAATAGAAACAATATGCTTAGTTAAATCAACAAATCATTATTATTAAACAATATTATATTTGGATTACTAATTTAAATTATGATTATTTCACCATTCAAATATTATTGTTATTAAAAATGGAAAATTATTTTACTTATTGCAACATGACAAATTGTTATGAAATTTTGTAAAAATGCTAACATTTTTATAACCTAACTTTTTCTTAATGCACTTTGTTTTAAAATTGCATCGCAATATACTCATGCTTACTAATTGATAATTTAATACAAAAGCTTATTTACACAGAATAATTTTTTTTTTTTTTAATATTTTTGAGTAAAATCCCCATAAAAAATTATAAAGAATAATATAGGCATTAAAATTCTTTAATTATTCTATTACATTCTCTATGTTCAGTTTAAATGTGTGTTTGTAGAATAATATTGAATATGTCTTCATTTTTTTCATAATATATATTTGTTTCTTTTGGATTTAAGGGAATTATAAGTTTAGTACTCTATATTATATTTAAAACATCATACTGCTTTAATCGTTGAAAGTTATTATATTGCTTATTAAAGTTATCTTTCAAAATGTTTACTACACCAATTAAAAGTTAATATTTTTCAGCTGGTGAAAAAAAGAATTGTCATGTTGTTTTTTAGATACTAAATTATTAAATTAATTTAAAAATACTGAACGTATGTTTTCCATTAAAAAATAAATGTTTTGGTTATTGTTCAAATTAATGTATGCAATAAAATATATAATTTTGTTGAATGACAATAATATACTAAATGTTAGCTAGGCAGCATAATATGACGATTATCCAGATAATATAATAAAAGTAGTTAAGTGACATTTGTAAAAAAGGAAAACACTAGCCAGCATAACCTTACTGCTTCAAATCAAATGTCAGCTACTAATATCATCTATTACTAGTATTTATACTGGTCAGTTATGAGTTTACGACTTATACTCTCCAATTAATTGGTATATGTAAGTATTATTGGATTTGTGTATACTAAATTTCCTCTGTAATATGTAACTTTTTATTTTTCCTGAAGTTTTATCTATTGTTGGTATATTAAAATATATTTGTAGTTAAAAAATATACAAAAAATTATTATTTTAAATTTATAGATTTGGTAGATATTTTAGCCGCCTCAGAAGTAAATGATGATGAAACTGCTAATGAGCTACCACAACCCAACCGTGGAAATAAAATTTCTAAAAAAAACAAAAAGAAAAATAAGAATCAAGATTGGGATGATGAATCAGAAGGTAAAAAGTTTGGTTATATATTTATTCAGTATTCAGTAATCAATTTATTACAATTTACATTAATAATCTAAATCTTACCAATAAACTAAATGTGTTTTTATCGACCAAAATTTTTTTCACAATAACTAATTATCATATCTAACTATAAATCATATATATTGTATTATTTTACACATTTATTGTGTATCATAATTGATTATATTTGTTATGATGCTGAAAAAACTGTACTTTTAAAAATTAAAATATCAATGTACAACTTACATATAAAATAATACTATAGGTGACATAAACAAAAAATCAATAACTAATCGTGGCACTGACTAAATTATAGTGCAATTGTAGTAACAAGGTAGATTATGCTAATTGGTATTATTCAGTACTCCATAACAATGTTAATTGATACCATTTGGTGTCATCTGTAGTAAATGTGCTAGTATAAATTTATGATTTTTTTTACTGATAAGTTTTTTTTTCAGAAAGAAATAATAATAATTAGTTAAGATTAAATTAAAGCTGATTTTATAATGAATATAAATTTTCTGAATATACAAAGTTAATATTATTAAATAATCATTGTTATGATATATTTTTACCTAATTCAACTATAAATGTATCATAAATCATTGCAAAAAAAAAAGAAAAGATTTTTTATTAAATAATTTGGTTTATATTATTTTTATTATTCTAAAATAATTTTAAAATTAGGAGGTACTTTTGTATTTAAAAATATTGGTATACCTAAATTTGTTTTGAATAACTTTTAAACAAATAAATGATAAATTGTAATCACTTTATTACAAATCAGTTATACAAAATTAAATAAATTTAATGTTAATAGCATTATTTTTGTTGTGATGTGCAGACTTAGTTGATTTATTGGCTGAAACAAATTTAAATGATGACGATGTTGAAAAAATCCCCCAAACAAATCGTGGAAATAAGATCTCTAAAAAGAATAAGAAAAAGAACAAGAATCAACAACAAGATTTTGAAGAAAACTCAGCAGGTACATATAATATTTTTATTATAACACTGTATTCATATTAAGTTATACCCTTAGGTATTTTAGATTTAAAACACTTAGGTAATAATTTTATGTTAATTTTCAAATGTGTATTTAAATATAAAATTTTACTGAACATTTTTTTTCTTAACAGTTACAATTTTTTTTTGTATTAAGTTTTAGAGTGAATTTTAACTTTTATGATATTTTAAATTTTAAGCAAGTTATAAGAATATTTAAATTTTTACATTTTACATATTTATTACTTGTTATTAATAAATATCAAGACCTTGAGGTTGTCATTTAAATGCATTTTTTCAGTATTTAATGGTAATTTAATACTAACTAGCTAAAATATTAAAATCTTGTCATTGAGATGTAGCATTTTAATTTTTATTAATTAAAACTATTTCATATTGTTAGTAAAAAACAATTTAATAAATTTAAAAATATAAATTATAGAAAAAAAAATTTGATATACTCTAAAAACAATATTGAATGAAATTGATTTAAAACTGTTATATTTAAAAATGTATTTTCTATTGGATATGTATGACAAAATCTTAGATAGAAGTCTTGAACACTAATAATATAAATATATAAATACTTATATTTTATCAAATTTATCAAAAGCTCTTGAAAATTCTGTTATAATGACATCAAATTGATAATTGGATGTAAAAGTATTCAATTTAAATGGTTGAAAGACTAATAGATTAATAAAATTGCTGTTGATTTATCATTAATAAAACCAAATTGATTTAAGCTTATTAATGATGTTAGCATCGATGTTATTTTTAGACATAATTAAAAAAACAATTAGATTTATTCAATACTTATAATTTTTATCAAAAATTATGACTTATCGTAAATATATAATATACGAATTGGTTTCAAAAAAACAAAACAAAATTTTTTGCATGTTTTTTTTTTAAATGTTATTTACATTAAAATGTTGTATTCAAACTTAAATTAACAATTAATAACCTAAATTTTCCTTCGACTGTCCTTTTATCATCAATATTTTATTTATGAAGATTTTTTTTTTAGTTGATGATGATGATGATGATGATGATGTTAACAATAAAGTTTCGACATCGCCGACCGAAGTAGTTGTTGAAAATACACCGGCAAAAATTTCGACAGGAAAAATTTCGAAAAAAAATAAAAGGAAAAAAAAAGATTTCGATTTAGAAGAAGACGATGATGACGCACTAGGTTAGTTTTAAACTAAATTTATTTAATTTTACGATGTCTATTCAAATGTTTTTTAACTTTTTTATTCTATTACATTTATTATGTTCACTTGGTGTCAGCGTGATGATATTGGTAGTCTTAAAGATTTTTATTCTAACTTTGGAGGGAAGGAGGAGAGTTTAAAGTTAGATGGTAATTAGGTCTATGTAAATAGCTGTCATTGAATATCATTGTGTTTTGTTACAGTTCAAGAAAATATCGTCAAAATTGATTACGACAATAAATCTTTGGATATCGTTGTAGAACAATCTGTCGATGTTAATGATGATCTGACAGCAGTAGAAAAAATTGAAGAGAAAGTCGAAAAAATCGCCGGCGATATTGACGATGACAGTGCTCCAACGGCTATGCCAGGTAATGATTTATGTGTACCTTTTATCATTTTGTTTGGGATTTTTGGTATAAGCGTTTTCTAATAGAAATTTTATCATTTACTGTTGTATAATATAACTAAATTATGTTTGTGTGTTTTAATCTACTTTCATGTCGATATTTCAGCTATAGATCAAGACGTAGGTGATGAAGGCGGTGGCGATATAGACGAGGAGTTGGAAGCCGCTAAACTTGCTGGGAAAAAAAAGAAATCGAAAAAAAATAAAAAAAAGATAAATTATGATGAGGAAATCTTAAAAGAGGCGCCAAAAGCAGATGGTTTGTATATGTTTAGTAAAGTAATGATTGTACATCGATAGCGTCAGGGTATTGTTTATTTATCTGGTTTATGGTAATTCTATAGTGATGGTGGAAGGTGATAAGTCTGCTATAAACGTTGAAGCAAAATGTGATATTGACGAGGAAAAGTCTGTTGAACAACATGCTAACGTAGCTGATGCAGATAATGCATTGATTAGCGCTGTTGGTGAAAACGATGATAATATGGGTAAGCTTTTTTTTTTACCAATGTATCGCATTATTATGTAATAGCATGTATAAGAGTTGATAAAATGCTTTAATATTGTGTGTACACTAAATTAGACGAACTCGAGAATGAAGCTGTACCGGATGTAGTAAAAATGCCCAAACAAAAATCGAAAACCAAAGACGCAAATAAATCCGATAAACTGTCCCATAAAGAAAAAAAGAAAATGAAAAAAGAGGTACACATCTAATGTGAATTATCAATAACCACTAGACATATTTCGATTTTTTAATTAACTGTATTTTTTGTTGTTTTAAGTTGGAGTATCAGAAGCAAATGGATTTAATGACCAAGAAAGGGGGTCAGGGCCACAGTGAGTTGGGAGCTAATTTTTCGGTGTCACAGATTCAAAAGACAGCGGGTCAATTAGCGGCCATGGAGCACGCAGTTGACATTAAGATTGACAGCTTTAGCATTGCAGCTAAAGGTCAGGACTTGTTCGTTAATGCCAGTCTGCTGATTGCTCAAGGCCGGCGATATGGTCTTGTCGGACCAAATGGGTAAGTACTGAGGTGTCTGAGGTTATAATGTTTTCCTAAAAATCCATAGTCATTTGCATATTTACTTTTGCTATAGTGACAATATTAGTTTGTTTAATGATTTTTTTGTCCTCATTGTCTTATAATGATATCTTGTTGTAACTGTTTTTCACAGTCATGGAAAAACAACACTACTCAGACACATTGCCGAGCGGCTCTTCGATGTACCACCAGGTATTGACATTCTATACTGCGAACAGGAGGTAGTAGCTGATGAAACAACGGCGGTGAAGGCTGTACTTAGGGCTGACACGCGGTGTACAGAGTTGCTCGCTGAGTGCAAAAAACTTGAGGAGGCTCAAGAAAAAGGCATGGGTGAAGACGTAACAGAACGATTAAACGAAGTGAGTAAAGGGGTGGGCGGCTCTGAGTATTTGATAATCTGGTGATGTATTTTTAAGACACCATCTTTTTTCATAATATAGGTTTATGAAGAACTCAAGGTACTTGGGGCAGACTCGGCTGAACCCCGGGCTCGGCGGATACTTGCTGGTCTTGGTTTCTCCGCGGCCATGCAGGACCGGGCTACCAAAGATTTCTCTGGAGGTTGGCGAATGCGTGTGTCTCTTGCTCGAGCACTATTTCTGGAACCTACATTGTTATTACTTGACGAACCAACTAATCATTTAGATCTGAATGCTGTCATCTGGCTGGACAAGTGAGTTACTCCTAGTTGGTTGGTGTACATATCATCTTGTAAACACACCACAGGTGTTATCTAATTGAGATACGCGTGTGTTGCGCGAATGCGAACGGCTATCGTTAAACAGAAGATTTTCAGTTATTTGCAGGGATGGAAGAAAACCCTGTTAGTTGTATCTCACGACCAGAGCTTTTTGGACAATGTTTGTAATGAAATCATACATTTGGATCAGAAACGATTGTTTTACTACAAAGGTAATTACAGTATGTTCAAGAAAATGCACTCTCAGAAAAAAAAGGAGATTATCAAGGAGTATGAGAAACAGGAGAAACGGCTGAAAGAAATGAAACAACAAGGCCAATCCAAGAAGCAAGCTGTGAGTTTATTAATTTTTGTTATTAACCTTGACCACTTTCAGAATAATTTCTAATGTAAATGTGCGATTGTAGGAGAAAAAGCAAAAAGAAGTATTGACCCGGAAACAGGAAAAGAACAAGGGCAAATCGGGTAAAAATGCTGGCATGGATGATGATGACAACGCAGAGCCCACACAGCTATTGCAAAAGCCTCGAGACTATAACGTCAAATTTTCATTCCCTGACCCTAGTCCGTTACAGCCGCCTATACTGGGTCTGCACAGTGAGTTTTCTTCAATAACTTAATTCACTTTACACAATATTATTATTGGAGGTGAAAATTTCATCGACTGATATTGTTTCCTTCTTTTAATTATACAGATGTGAGTTTTGCATATCCTTCTCAGAAGCCACTGTTTAAGGATGTCGATTTTGGCGTTGACCTCAATTCCCGGGTAGCAATTGTCGGACCCAACGGTGTGGGTAAGTCAACGTTCCTCAAGCTATTAACCGGTGACTTGCAGCCTACCATCGGTGAAATGCGTATGAACCATCGGATGGTATGTATACATACACAATAGATGATAGTTGATGTAAATCAAATATAAATTTTTTGCAGAAACTTGGAAAGTTTGACCAGCATTCTGGTGAACATTTGACTGCCGAAGAGACACCCGCTGAATATCTGATGCGGTTGTTCGATCTGCCGTATGAAAAAGCACGCAAGCAACTGGGTACTTTTGGGCTTGCTGGCCATGCACATACCATACGCATGAAAGACCTGTCTGGCGGACAAAAGGCCCGTGTTGCTCTGGCTGAACTTTGTTTGAATGCTCCTGATGTCATTATATTGGTAAGCCCTATAACATTGTAACATTCAACTTGAAGGAAAATCCAGTTTTATTTTAGAAAGAGTGGTAAAAATAATGTTTAATATAAGGAACATAATATTAAACAAAAATAATGTGCAAAAATAGTTTGCAAGATATTTTGTATCTTAAATTTTAAAATGGATTCTAATGTTTTCTAATAACTTAAATTATAGTACAACATTAATTTATTCAAAATTCTAACCTAAAATCTAATTATGTGATGTAAAATGTGTACTTTATGCAACATTTATCTACTAGTTATAATGATTGGTATGATAGAAAATGTAAAAAATAATGAACTTGAATCATAATTTTAGACTAAAAATTGCTTAATTCATTTGTTTCTTTGTATTCGGAAATTTAAGTGTAAAAAATTGGTTTAGAAAATTATATTTTTTTCAGTCTATATATTATCAATCATAATTTAATATATTACATATATGTATATATATACGATTTGTAAATATTTAAAAAAATTAATTAATTTTATATCTATAATAAATTTAATTATATTTATAACAATTCTAAACTTATTTTTCAAGTCAAAAACTTAGTTTAATGACAATTTAAAAAATAGTAAACACTTCACCTTAAAATTATGCCACAGAATTTTTTACATTTATATTTTTTGGGGGGGAAATATGGGACACCTGTTACCAGTAATTAGAATATAGTAATAGCCAAAACCCATATTATGTTTGTTAAGCCTATGATATTAAATTAATTTATGTACCAAATAAGAGTATAATTATGGTCTATTATATTTATTGAGCAATCTTTTGGTTCATTTTTATAAGAAAAATATTATAATAATAGAAAAAGAATATTGTGATGTAAATGCATTTATAAAACAATTAATTATAAATATACCCCCAATTCATTTAATACATATTTTATGGTTTTGTTTTTCTATGGCTGTTGATAATATTATTGTTAATATTGCTATAGGATGAACCTACAAACAACTTGGATATAGAATCTATTGACGCTCTAGCAGAAGCAATAAATGATTACAAAGGAGGTGAGTAATATTAGATTGTTATGCATATTAATTAAAACTTCAGCAGATCCGTATAACTTAATGATAATTTGTCTTATCAATTTTTGCGATCTAGGTGTCATAATTGTGTCTCACGACGAACGACTGATCCGTGATACAGAATGTACACTATGGGTTATCGAAGACCAAACTATTAATGAAGTGGACGGTGACTTTGACGATTACCGTAAGGAGCTGTTGGAGTGTCTTGGTGAGGTGATCAACAGTCCGAGTATTGCAGCCAACGCAGCCGTCGAACAATAACAGCAATCTGGTGTTGTCAATTATTAATTATGTTAAACAATTTTGGTTGTGCGCATGGATGCATCAGATACTTATAATTATATTGTTGTTGTCTTGGATGTATTTGTGATAATGTTATTTTCATAGTCAAATGACGTACTGTAATTCCTATTTACGTGCCTTGTTTACTCATAATATATTTTATAAATAAATAAAATAAAAACTTTGAGTAAAACATTGTACACTATTTTAGAGTGACCTACAATAATATTATATTTTGGCAACTCATGGTTTTTCTTACCTTATTAACCCTGATGTTAACTAATTGTATTTTATTATGGTTTTGGAAACTACAATACCTGTATTACTATATAAAATATAAACTTGCCTTTTTTCTGTTAAAAAATAATGAGTATATAAAGATATTATAGTAATCAGCAAAAAGTGGACTAATTTGACAATAAAATTAGCTTTGTGTGTTAGGTAAGAATTTGGCTATCTTGTCTTATACATTACTGGCAACATTACAACTACAATATAATGCGTTCTACTGTTTTTGCCACACTATAACTATATTTCAATTTTAGACAATATTATATTCTTAAATAAGTGGGGATATAAAAGTGGTTTAATGATGAACAAAAATCCTTTTAAATAATTAATATATTATTAAAATACTTATATAATATAAATAATAATAATAATTATATAATTACATAATACTATCAACGCGCCATTTGTCATTGTCTTGTTATTTATTTCATTGTGTAAAAATAATTAGAAAAAATTAAAATAAAATAAATAAATACTAAAATACTTATACTATGTCTCTCATAAATGCGTTAAATATGTCGCTTTTATTCAAACTCCTCCACCACGTTTCAATGAGATACCTGTAATAGTTTATTTAAATTCTTTTTCAAACATTTTGAAACGTTACATGAAATATAAAATCATTTATGAACCCAAGAATTATCGATCAATGACTAAATACACGATCAAAAATTATGCCATGCAGTAAAAGAGAGTACTAATCTCTATTATTATTAAGTCACAGTAATAAAGATATAAATTGGGTGGTAAACTGTATACAAGTGTCCTGTAATCGCAAGTAAACCGTAATCTGCAGTAGAGCGCATAGTATTGTATGTATAATATATTGTTATTCACAGTAAATCAAAAGAATAGGTACTAAAAAATAAAAAAATAATAATTTTTATCACATAAATTATAATTGATAATATTTTTAAGTAGTTTCTTAACCAATGAGTAATATTAAAGTATGTTTTAATTTAAGAAATATTTTAAATATCCTGTTGTCTTACTGAAAATATAAAAATTTAAATCGTTGTAAATATTGTTAAAGATCTGATATATCGTAATAGGTACTCACAACATAACTGTATGTCGATGAAAATTGACTTTAATGTTTCGAATGAAAACTGAATATATATACTTATATGTATTCAGAGAGTGTTTTTTTTTTGAACGACATACATCACATTTTGTAAATGGATATCACTATGCTTTAAACTGTAATAATAGTATTATGATTTAATTAAAGCATTTGTATTATAATCATACTTATAGTAGTTCAGTTTCAGATTTAAGTTTCATAACACTGAAAGTCATCTCTTTTTAATTGACTGTGTTGATTACTTATGATTACTATGATGTGTTTTCTATGATCATTTATAACGTTATTTATTTTCGTATATTGTTAGTTTATATTAACGATAGCTTTGCATTTTTTATTTTTACAACGAAAATATAAATCACCACTTTTTAAACTAAAATATTTGAAAATTTAACTATATTAATACTTAAAAAAAATAAATATATTTCCTTGTCACAATTCGGAAACTTCACCGATTTTTAATTCCATTTTATACATTTTAAGTAAATATATCATAAAATATATTATGCACTCGCATTTTAAGTTCTTGAGTTATACTTTTGGTAGAACATTTTTAAACATTTTCTGTGCTTTTTATTAATGATTATCGTACAATAGGTAATAAAATGCAATTATTATGGTGTGCGTAAACTACTTATACTTTTTACTTCTTCCTGGGTTTAAACGTGTTCCGATGTTTCAAGTAAAATTTATAAATTCAAATTAAATTATATTATATAATCAAGTTTCAATCTAAAAATTAGGTATTATATCCGTGACACTGGTGTAGCCAAATCGCCTATCCAAGACGCCGCGTGATCTATAATAGAAGACAGCCAATAACATTCAAAAATCTAAAAAATAAACTGTTTCTTGATTTCTGATAGTACCTATATATTTTATACATGGTTAATAATTGATAATATTTCAAACGCTGTTATTCGTTAAATATTTCTGTTTAAATTATTAGCTAATAGCTAGTGACTGTTTTTTTTTTTTTGGAAAAAATACTCGTAATATTATATTTGTATACTAAATATTGCATATAGGTATCTATTGTTTCTTTGATAAATATTAAAAACTGAGTATTGATTTTTAATCAAAACACGTGTTAAAGAATATGAGTATTCTGAAAATAATATCAGTGAAATAATATTATTTAAAATATAAACTAACAGATTAAAAATATATTTAACATAATATTAAATATTATTAATTAAAGATATTTCATAATATCTATATAAATTATGTTAAGTCAGAGGGCAATATTAAGGAAGGGTTGACATAGGTATGACGCAGGTCTGCTGTATAATAGTAGTCGAGTATATTTTGTAATTTAATAAATTACTTTGTTAACGTACCTACATATTAAATTTGAATTTAACAATATTATAGTAGTATTATAGTAACCTAACATATTCTGAGTGAATACTGCAGTCTGTCAGTAACGCCGTATCTAAAGAAGGTCCAAGAAGTTCGGATCCACTTCCCCAACCCAAAAATTTCTTAGATAGTTTAAAAATGTGTAAAATAACTATTTATTTTTAATACTAACATGAATGGCTAAAATTACTAACAATTTATTAAATTGATAATTGGTTTTTGTATCATAATATTATTTTAGCGTCTAATAATAGATTGTTATTGATCGACAATGACCGTTTTCGATGCCGGTTAACGTCTCGACGGTTGACAATGATTAATAATAAGATAGATATTATATTTGTGTAAATTAAAAATACTACTATAATTATATACCGTCGTCCGTCAGATGGTGACTAACATGTCGAATTGGACATACGTAAACTGTGCCCGAATTTTTATCTATGTTATAAAGGTTTAATGTAAACTGTGCTCAACAACTTAAGATATGTCCTGTTTGTAAAATATACAAAACTTTTGACTTATTAAACATTTAAACTCTCTATGATTATGCATTTTTTCAATTATATCATAGAAATTTTATTTTCATCTAGAAATATCAACACGTTATCGAATAACTATTGCATTCTAAAAAAAAAAAGAAACGTGCAAAAAATTACAAAATTTTATTACTAAATATAATAGTGGTCAAACTCCAATTGATGAATATGCAATAACAATACGTTATTATTTGTAATATTTGTAATTATTTTAATTTTTAAAATCATTTATAGATATTTGTTTAATTCTTAATTTAATATTAATTTTCATTATTCATATCATATGGTTGTAATGAATATTATTAAGTATACAATAAAAATAATTTTGCAAAACTATATCTATTGATTTTTAAAATTTTTCCCGGGCGCAGTATACATGTCACTTTTTTACACTAAACTTGATAAAACTCAGGCGAAGTTTACATATGTGATTTTGGGTTTATCTGTATTTTGGGAGCAGTTTACAATCGCCGGTCGAATTGTTTTATTAAATTCGTCATAATGAGTAAACGAGATAACGAAAATGTACTATTAAGTTATTTTTCTTAACTTCCAAAGGTACTTATTATTTTTTCATAATATGTATTACTATATTAATAATTTAACATGGTTTTAATTAATTTACTTTATTTTTAACCAAATAACAAAACCTAAATTCAGTAAGTATACGATACCGCAAGTTCACTCACTTAGAGAGCACTAAATTTCGTAATAATACCTACAAATATAAAAAAAAAAAATAACCAATAATAAATAATTATAAATGGTTTTTATGTATTTTAATGAATCGTAAAAATGTATATTAAATTAAATTTAGAACCATAGTTGATACATCAAAATTAACTTAAAAAATTAAAAAACAAAATAATTAAAAATCGTTATTATATTACACGTTAAAATTTGAATCTAATTCGTCCAAATTTGAACTTAAAATTTCTATAAACAATATTATGTTCAAATATTTTTATACATAAAATACCCGTTCCAAAAGTGAGACCTAATGAAATAACGCATTATTTTAATATCATTACATTCAATCAGAATCTAAAAATATTACATTATTATTAATTTGTCTTATAATGTTGTAAGTACAATGGAGTGTTTTGCTGCTATTATATATTTTGATCAACATACACCTATTTTGGTTTTTGAAATTGATTAGAAGTACAGAGATGAATTATTTAAGTGTGAAAATTCTCTTATAAATTATTCAGTAAATATAATAAATTGTATTTACTGTCCTCGTACACAAACCGTTCAAAATTCATTCATGTAATGGTTCTTAGCCTTATTTGCTGTAGTGGTCGGTATTCATATAATTTTACATTTTATGGTAAGTACTGATGATCGTGTGGCGTGAGATCCACGTCTTTACGCAGAAAAATAAGTATTTAGTTACGCTAGGATTGCCCTTCGCTATGCCTCGTTTTCATTTAACGCCATTTATAATTATTTTTGTTAATTTATAGCGGATAGTGCTACACAACCTTAATAATTCATTGTATAGTTGTACCTATCTGAATAATATTATATTTGTATATCTAAATACTTTCCGTAAGTCCGTGATGTGGGTGCACTTCTGTGGCATTGGCCTAATTTGAGGATCGCAGTAAAATATATACATTTCATCCTAATTGATTCTTAATTTTAACATAAAAAATTTTGCAGTTGGTTTCCACTAGAATTTTTATACAACATACAAGTTTCTGAGAATAATTTTTTTAGTAGAATTTATTATCTGATCTATTAATACACAAGTATTTTAAGTCCAAAATTATAAGTCCTTTATAAACAAAAAACCAAAT